CTGCAGCTCTACCAGGCTGCCCTGAGGGTGGCTGCTCTGTGCCCACCTGGGCAACAAGGAGCTCTGTCCCACCCAGCAGAAATCAAATCTTTTGTTTCTTTGTCTGGCTGCAAACCCCTCAGACCACTGCAGTGAGGCACTCACGAGGGGAAGGGCAATTACAGGTAAAACTACAGTCTGCAGCTGTCCATGAAGATGCTTAGATTAAAAAAAACCAAAACCAAACAAAACCGAAAAAAAACCCAATCAACCAAACAAAAAACCCCAAACCACAACAACAAGGAAAAAAACCCCAAGCAAACAAACAAAAAAATACGCCAGCTCTGCTATGAGCTGGATTTTAGAGGTGAAATTGCTGTCCTGTTCCAGCGGACTGGCCCGAGCCGAGGCTGTGCTCTGTGAGCAGCACGGGCTGCTGGTGCCATCTGCCGTTCTGGCAGCCACAGGCACATCAGGAACAGCGGCACAAAAGATTAAGACTTGACTAATTCATGTCTGGCATAAATGAAAATCCTTCAGATGCCTGAGGGTCTCATGTGGCAATTTAGGGATAAATGAGATTTTAGGCAAAATTTACTTACATGGGAAATATCACAAGCAAATCCTTGCTGACACAGTCCTTGATGCTGCATGAAATTAGACACAATGCCTTTCTAGAAGCAAAGAATGGGATAGAAACAAAGATAGACCCTTACTTTTGGGGTGAAATTACTTTTAGCTTTAGCTTAGTTAGTTACTTTTAGCTCCTCAGCCAGGAGTTCAATTCCTGCTGCTCAAAAACCCAGCAGTCCCAAGGAGAAGAGCACCAAGCTGGTTTCCTAAAAATTATCTCCTATTTAGGACAAAGAAAACCATCTCCATATATAAAACCAGAGAATACCAGCCTCTGATCCAGCTCCTCCACTGAAGGCACTTGCAGAGGCTTACAATCCCCACCTGGAAAAATGCCTTTCCAAGATACCCAGTTTGCACCCAGACCTGACACAGACAGCAGATTTCAAGACCTTGGTGTGAGTTTCACAGGGGATATTATTTTGCTGGTCCCAATTCAGCTGCTTTGTATGAGAATCATTTTCACTGTTCTTACAGAGGGCTATTTATACTGACAATTGGGCTCTGCCTTAAGCACTTAAGCCTGCTGTCTAGCCAGCAAACAGGCTTCCCACCAACTTCCAAGCCTCTTCCTGCACCTGCTGGTCCCTCAATGCTGATAGAGGTGCTGTGCCACACACAGGAGGCAGGAGGAATATTTCTGTCAGGGCACAGGCAATATAACTTTTAAATGTCCTTGTTTATTGTCACGAAAACCTGCAAACTGGAGGGCCAGAGGTGCTTGTGTGTCCATCAAGAGAGCTGCAGCTGTTGGGGTGGCATCCTGAGCTCGCTGGGGAGCTCCTGCCAGAGCTAAAAACGGCGCGCGGGCGGCGTGCCGGCGACCCACGCTCTGCACGTGTCCTGACCTTCCCTGCTCAGGCAGCCCGGGGGAAAAGGCTCTGCTTGGAGCCACTTTCTCTGCCCCAGTTATTTAACTCCATCCCCTAAGCACCAAGGGGAAAACCCAGCTGTAGGGAGCCACTGTCAAGGAGAGTTCGTGGTGAGTGCAGCCCTGTCTGCTTTAGCCAGTGGGTTGCTTAGGGAAAGGCCAGGGTAAAAGATTCCTCTCTGGAAATATCTCAGCTGCAAAACCCAGACCCACATCCACAGAGGAAACTCACATAAAACTCTGGCATGTTTTGCAGAGCTGTATCTTGATGCAGCCTGTAGAGGACCCAGCTGGGGGACACGTCAGTACAGCTCTATAGATATCAGGACAAGTGTCCTACCCAGGGCTGGCAAGCACCCAACAATGTTCACCCCTCCTCAAACTGCCTATAGACAAGTCTGTATAGCCCAGACTGGCACAGGCTTAAATTACAGTGGAAAATACATTAGATACATCAAAATACCTGAAATTAAACCCCAGGGAATGCTGCCAGAAAGCAGCACTAAGAGAGCTGTAAGAGCACCCAATAAAGCAGTGCCTCGAGGCACCATCCAGTAATGTCTTTATTGCAACACTTTGGGAGAACTTTAATCTGAGCCTAGCCAGTCACCCCACTAAAATATTGTTCCTGGGATTCAGCATACGGAAAGCAAGCAGGCACCTCTGCTAAGCTGCTTTCAGAAGTTAATAGTGACAGATGACTGAGGATATCTGCCAGCAATGCCACCTCTGTTATGTAGTAGCAAAGTTCCAAATTGCCCATGCTCATCTGCACTCCTTTCCACCACACTTGCTCAATCCCCTTGAAGTCTACAAATATGCACCAGCATCATTTAGAAAAGTATTTGGCTAATGTGGTCAGAGATAATCTGAATTTACAAGATGCCCATGATAAGCACCTAGGCTAAAACTACTGATCTGTTTGGCTCACTGAGAACATCAGATCTTAAATGGAACAAGAATGTCAGGACAAAGTTCAAATGTGTCCCTGTTGTCCAAACACAGCCCTCACACAAACCTGCACTGCTCCTCTGAAGCCAGAGGAACCATGCCAGCCCAAATTTGGGGTTGGAGCAGGGTACTGTTAGAGGTGCAGGCAGCCCAGCCCCTGCTAGTCTCAGACTTGGTTCAGTTCAACCAGACTTGGCTGAGTCTACTGGTGGGTCCAGTTTCAGACAGGTTTGACAAAGTGCAATCAGCCAAACCTGGCAGAGTTTAGCAGGGTTTACCACCCACGTGGAGTCCCCAGTGTGGGAAGGCAGGAGGGGAGGCTTGGGGAGACTCCCAGGACCCCCTCACAGCCCCTCCACTGCCTTGGGCCATCAGCCTCTGGCAATGACACCTCCACGTCACTGAAACCTCCCAGAGGCTCTCCTCTCTCACAAATGGTGATGTTCAGCTTGCAATCACGTTCTCTGCCCTGTCTGAGTCTCTGCTCTCTCACAGATGGTGAGTTCACCTTGCAATCACATTCTCTGCCCTGTCTGAGGCTCTCCTGGGGGAAGAGCCCTGGCTGTCCCCAGCAATGTCCCCACCCTGCCCCAGCCCTGCAGGTCACACCCTCCCTGGCAGTAACCAGCCCCAGCCAGCCTGTGACAGCCACAGGTAACCCTGGAACTCTTTGGGAAGCACCTGCTGGGACCTGCCAGCCTACCTGGACCTCCTCTCTCCAAAATTTCCTAGCACTGCCAAGCTCCCTCCCTTTCCCCAGCTCCCTTGTGACACAAACACCAGCTTGTGCCCAGCTTCTTCACACAGGAGTGGAAAGATGTGCTGGGTTTCCTCAGGAAGTGAGAAGCTCCTGCCTGAACTCTGAATACAACAGTCAGAATTAATTCAATTTTTACTGTCAAAACTACCCCAGACATCAACTTGCCACTGAAGACACCCAGTCTCTCCACAGGGCACATCCCTTCATCTCCACAAGAAGATTTTTGTTACCTGCACTCCTCATTCAGAAATCTCTTCGGAAAAAAAAAAAAAAAAATTAAGGAAAAGGTCCCTATTCATCTGCCTCAGAATTTGATGTATAAATTGAAATGTCACTTCAGAGGCCCTTGACAAAGCAATTCAGGAAGGAGGGCCCCAGCATTTGTGGCCTTTGCACCTGCTACTTTTCCATTTTGGGAAGGGTTTAAGATAGCTGGAATAGCCAGTCTCTTCCCACCACCCCTGCATTCAAAAAGCTCCAAAAGTTCATCTGGGAATCACTCCCCCAAGAGGTGAGTAATAGTTTAAATTCCTTGAGCTGGATTGTCTGGTGAGGGGATCCAAGTAAATCCCATTGACTTGTGGCAGATTTTCCAGAAGAAGAGGAGAGCATCCCTAAACCATGGCCCCTGCTATGGGCAGGACCCATCCCATCCTTGGGCCCAAATGGTCTTGATGTGATTTGCAGTGACAAAAAAATGTAGCAACAGCCATTAGTAACAGCATCAGGAGAAATGCTTTAGCCAAAAGTCATTTATATCTTTTCACCCAGCTTCTGGGACTCAGTATGAATAAAGCAGGAAGGAAAGAGGAAAAGTTTGAGTTTGTGCTTGCAGTAAAGCAAACCACAAGTCATGTTTTCAAACTGGGAATCTGGGGAATCCCACAAAAGGTAAATGATTATTCAGTACCTCACACTGCTGGGCAGGGTTCTGCAAAGCAGCTGGGTTATTTCCATGGCCACAAAACTGATGAAGGCTGAGCAAGCCAAGCCTGAGCAGGATAACCCCAGCCCAGCCATGGAGGGGCACTGCTGTGGGGGCAGACAAGAACCAGTTTGTTCACAGACACTCACAGAGCAATGGCAGCTTTGTTTGGGGATCCTGCCCTTTGTGCATCACACAAAGCAATTCCTCCAAGGGTTTGGGGGCACAGAGACCCCCCCTAACCTGCTGCAGTGACACTGAGGGACACAGCTCTCCACTGTGCACCTTGTGTGAAATGCAGGTGTGCAATGGCCCTGCAGCTCTGCCAGCACCACAACATCCCTCAGCTCCTACAAGCTTCTCAGCACCAGCTCTGCAGGCTGTCACACGAGGCTGCTCAAGCCAGCTGGACACTTGCTGCCTCCACCAAGATATCTCCCTGCACTTCTCAGCATCTAGGAAGAAGCTCAGGTTTTCTTTCTATCCCAAGTGAATAGGAAATTCTTTACATTCCAGATCTGTGCAAGAGAGTCCTGCTTCTAATGAAGTTTTTCTACACTTCTCTTTCAATGTGGAGAGCCACAATCGACCTGAGCTGGCATCTTTCCAGCACTCAGGGCTATTAGCATTTCAAATTATAAGCAATTACAGATCTGGCCACCTTTGTATCTCACAACGCTGGACCTGTTTTGTTCCAGCTAATGGTGCCACCCTGTTGACTTTCAAACAGGCTGGAGGGAATAAATTGCTGCAGTTTATTCCCATACAGCTGACATTCCCGCCATGCCATCACTCACAAGCAGGGATCTGAACATCAGAAATGTAACCCACCACCCAGACAGCCTCCAGACCTCAGAGGGAGCTGCTGGAGAGGAGACTTTCCACTTCAAGACTCAGCACTGACACAAACTGCTGGCAGCAAGAGCCCCAAAACCAAACTGATGGCTTACAGAGGTGAGTAACACTTTAATTTCTAGCATATTAACCATGTTCTCAGGATGTTTGATGCTTTTCAGATGTGGGGAATAGAGGCAGGGATATGATTTTCCTTTTCAGAGAGCAGCATTCCCCTTGCTAGCACACCAAGCTCTGCTCTTACCTTTAGGCTCATCAAGGGTGGTCATTTGAGCATCCTGGCAACCCAGGAGCTCCAAACCCACAGCATCCTTGGCTCAGTCTGCTGCCTGCATCAGCATCTCTCACCCTGGCACCAGGAAGATTGTGCTTTCAGAACTAGAGAGGAGCCCACTGCCACCCAGGGCATCCCAGCTCCACGGCACAGGCACAAGGGGTGAAGCCACAATGAGCTTTGCTCCCTGAATGTCTCATTTCATTTTTGGGGTACTCTGCAAGCAGCCAATCCACCAATGCTCCATTTAGTGTCCTGGGCTGAGAGCAGATGAAATGGTCCCCAAGACCCTCAGCTGTGATGTGGGCTGTGCAGCAGAGCACCCACAGGGCTCCAAAGCCTGCTCCTAAATGTGGCTCGTGGGCAGAGGAAAGAGGAAAGGGGTAGAAGTGCTACAAGGAAGAAAGTGGCCAGAAATTATGATACAACTTCTCAGTGGGTGTCTTTTCAGAGCACTGAGAACTGTAGGTAATGCAGGTAACCAGAACCACATTAGTAGCAGTGGGATTTGGATTTACTCTTTCACCCTGTGCTCCACCTTGCAGCAGCTCAGGCTGCTCTGATTCTCTGCCAGCACATCCTTTCCAGCCACAGACGTTCACTGTCCAGCCCTGTGCTAGCAGAACACATCACTGCTGCTCCTGTGCCACAGGCAGGGAGGAAGGCCAGCCTGCGTGTGCCCCTGCAGCAGGCAGCAGCTGAGCTCAGGCCAGGGCTGGGCACTGCCCTCCTCCCCTGGCCCAGCAGGGCACAGCCACAGCCCAGCCCAGAGACACAAATAAATTCCAATAATTAGCCCTGCCCATGTCTGTAGGTTTAATCCAGCGGGTTGTGAGAATGGCCAAGTGTGGATGGGGGTGTTAAATTTCAATAATTAGCCCTGGCCCATGTCTGTAGGTTTAATCCAGAGGGTTGTGAGAATGGCCAAGTGTGGATGGAGGTGTGGAGCCCCCCAGCTCCAGAGGAGCTGCTGGATCAAGGATTTCCTCAGCAGATCAGGGTGTGAGGCAAACTTGAGGGCAGGACCTGCCCCTTGAAAGGAACTTAATTCCCTTTGTTTTCTGAGTATCTTCCTTTTCATGTTTTTCTTTTTGTTTGCATTAATTAGTAGGTTTGGGGTATCCAAGAGCTTTGTCCCTAACACCGTTATCTCTTGGAGAAATAAGAGAAATTCCTCACTGTTGTTGCAAAAAGCAGCAAGAAAATTGAGTGGTGTGTCCTCACTGCCTGAGAGAGGAACTTTTTCCACTTCTCACAAATACAATTAACAAGAACCGTAACTCACCTCTCCCTCTGCTGCTAATTCAACCTTTTTACATTCTAAACCTAATTTAACATTTTAAACCCATTCACTGACCAGCTCTCTAAGCAGAAGCAAGCTTCTCATTTTTAGCAGGGAGGGCAGGCAGACACAAAGCCCTGGCTCTCCTGCGCCTCACAGTGCACACATGCTTTTTATTGGCATTTCCTAATTTCCAAAGGTTACACAGGGCAGGGGACAGCCCCTTGCTGGGTGCCAGGCCTGCAGCACAAGCTGGAGTCCAAAGCCACCCTACATGGCTGTACTTGAGACAACTGTCCAATGCAGCTAGGTACACATTAAATTAGGCATTTTTGGTTTTGAGAGATTTTCCAATAATTATGCAATATCAGTTGCTTTGTGGGACACTTGAGCTGAAGTTTGGCACATATGCTACCCCTGCCACTCTTCAGAAGACAGGAATTTAAAGCCCTTCTGTATTTTTTGGGGTTTTCTACCCAGAAAGTTTGTCTTAGCTGCCAAAAAGAAGGTAATCCAAGCACACACGGAGATCACTGCCTAGATGTGCTCTTGGCAATTAGCATGATGTCTAGCAAATCAGCTTTTCACGGTAGAGCACCTTTTCACATGGGGGGAACACAGGGAGTATGACCAGAAAACCTTTTCACCAGCTGCAAACACAAACAGATGAAGCATAGTAGCAATGCAATGATTACAGGGTGAGAGAAACAGGTTACACACGCCTCACTTTTCTGAAGAAACGGCATTAAAATCTAAGAGTTTAGGCACTGCATGTCTATGGTTACAAATTTACAGCTCTGATTTATAATGAGTCAAGTGCAAGCTAAAATCAGGCCTGGCTGCCAATGGCCTTTGGGTGGAAATGAACATATTTGTGTAGCAATGCACTTGGGCTGCTCGACAGGCCCAGAGTTTTGTATGACACCAGCTGCTTCCATATCAAATGCTGTCCCTGGAGTTAAAATTAGCCTGATCCTATTTCTGGGGGGGTTTTGGCTGTGCAGCCACTGCCCATGGGCTGCTGGCTGGGAACAGTCACTGCCTGGCACCAGCCGGGCACAGGGGGTCTGTGGGAGCCCAAATTCCACAGAATTCATTGAAACCAACCTTTCCTCCTCCTTGGGCACGGGCTGTGGCACGTGGCACTGTCACAGGAGGTGTTTGGGAGAGCTTGGATGGCACAGTCTCGATGCCTGCTGGGCACAGATAATAACCATTAGAACTCATTTTCATTCAAGAAACATCTGTGCAAGTTATTTAATTTTATGCAATCCTTTCTGCCAGCTCAATTTTCTGTGAAATGGCTTGGGGTTTGTAAAGTTATTTCCCTATAAAAGGCTGCCTTTGACTGTACAGTGACAGGTTAATTTAGGCAATTTGAACAATGATGGTTTGGGGAATTGGCACCTTTAACTGCTTCACAGTCCACACCTTAGTTCTACACAGAGGCTTCCAAACTACAGTGCTTAGCAATATCCTGATTATTTACACTTTTTAAATGCACAATTTATGCTCTGTGTAAAAGCTCCCAGACAGGAATAGCTTTCTTTATCGCATTTTACAGTGCAAGAGGTAGGTGCCTGCTCCGAGTTTTGTGGTGATGCTGCAGCACATGCAACAGGCTGCTCTTCCTGACTTGGTTATATGGTGCATTCTGGCTCCCAGCAGTTTTGGATAACTACCACAGCCCTGCTGCTGAATCAGAGCTCCTGGTGTAGACTCAAATTCTCTTTTAGATTCTGAAGCTGCCCCAGCTCCTCTGGTGAAGAAATCAGGGGTAGGACCTGAGAACAAGTATTTAAGAGACCCCAGCTCTGCCCCACTGCACAGCAGCCCTCCAGCCTCTGCAAGGCCCATGCAGAGGAAAAAACTATAGAAAATGCCTTCCTTATGCTGGCATCACTGCACCCCCAGCTCCCCATCACTCCACAGAACCAACAGCCTCCTCCAGCACCATTTATAGGTGCTTGAGATTACTCTGCTGCTCAGGTGGCAGCAGAGGGAAGAGCTTTGCCCCAGCTTGGGCAGGAGCTGGCCAGAGACCCCATCCCTGTGCTCTGCTCCCCACTCCCAGGCTGCCCAGCCCTCAGCACTGCACACGTGGCACGGGGGGAGCCAGGTTACACATCCCTGATGCCCAGCAGTTGCTCCTGTGGTGCCCAGGCTCAGCACAAACCCCACAGCTCTTGGGGGAACCCCAACACTTGTGAGTGCCTCCAGGAAGGCACCTCTGGCCAGAATCTTGCACCAGCACCATGGGGACACAGCCCCACCTCTCAGCAGCCCAGACAGACAATTCCCTGACCAGTGGGCTAAAAACATCTCCTGGCCAGTCAGGGAAACCAGAGAGCTTTAAATAGCCCTCCTCACAGCACTCCAGGGGTTCTGGGCTCCTGGTTAACTGCTCGTTCAGGTCTCAGCCCCTGATTCATTCTGCTCATGGAAAGGCTGGCACTGCCTGTCTTGGGGGTGAGCAGTGCTGTGGAGCTGAGCTAGGACAGGACCTTTGGGCCAGAATTCCCGGAGCTGATGGGCAACTGGAGGATTCTGTGCATAGCTCCCCTGCCTGGGGCATTGTCTGGGAGCAGCTCCCACGGAGATCCCTGCCCTTGCTGCAGCCTCCTGCGCCGTGCAGCAGCAGCAGCACGAGCAGCTCAGGAGCCTGGCGTGCCCTGGGACAGCAGAGCTGACATTTCAGCAGGCTCAGGAGCTTTGATTCATCTCTGGATCTGCCAGCTTTGATGATTTCAAGTTTACATGGCAGCAGCATCAGGCCACCAGTCAGTAACCACTTGAGACACACCTGTGTGACAGAGATGACAGAAGCTACAGCAGGCACCTGCTGCTTTGCATAGCACTTTGGAGAAAAATGTTATGCAGGCTCTGCAAAAGCTACCCCACATTCCTATTTGCATCTGAGTGCAACAGAGCTACTGCTGTCACTCTGGAGACATCCCATTTGAATGTGTTCCCATCTGAGGACACACTTTCCTTTTATTCCCATGCAAATGAAATCAGCTAAGTAAAATCATGATGTTTGGGGACAGAAAAGGCTCTTTCTCCATTTTGGTAATTACTATTATAGCAAAGACATCCTGTGCTACATGATGCTGTAGCAGTTGCAATTCCTGCAGAGCTGTTCACAAAAATTCCTTCTTCCCGAAGGAGGGACACGTGTAACAGGTGTGGTCTGGGGCCAGGGGAGATCAGAACTCGCTGCAGAAAATGCAAACGTAAGGGTACAGCCAGGGCAGCAGAGTCATCCTTGGGGCTCTGGATAGCAAAGCCGTGAGTCACAGTTACTGCACGGATCACACAATTCCCATCTCCTAAGCCTGCTGGAATGAGAGCCACCTCCTTGGAAGGTGTGCCCACACGGAGATGGGGCAGGACAGGCTCCTCGCCCTCCTCCCTGCCCTGTTAACCTAACCCTCCCTCTGCCGTGCCCGGAGCCCGCGCTGGGCCGGGGCGGGAGGCCAGCCCTGCCGACCTCAAAAACCACTCTGAGTTTTTGTGTTATGGCTGAGCTCTGCTTCATCAGGC